GAGGAACCGAAAGACATGTTTGCTGAATACCTCGACGGAAGTCAGCCGAGCAGCTCATTCGGCCAGAGCATGTTAGAGGAGCAAGAGCTACAGCTGCAGAAGGGAATAGAGGACATGGAGAAGGAGAGTTCCAGCACTTATTCCTATGTAAATAGGGAATCTGGCTAATTTTAAATTATAATATTTAATTGTAAATAACTATTTTTGATAGAAGCCAGCAACTAAGAAGCGCAAGACTGCGGCGGCTGAGAGCTGTGTGCTAACTCAGAAGTTTCCGGAGTACGTCGACTTGCAGAAGACCCTAGCATCGCAGACCACAAACATTTGGTCGTTGGTCACCTACTGGGCGATATAATGAAAGATCTGCCAAAAGAACTCCAAAATGAAGTGGGAGTGCTGTGGGAGTTAAAAAGATGAGCCAGAGACTATGAATAAGGTCACTGCATATTTATTTCTAATTTGGCCAAAATATAAAATAAATGAAAATACAAATATAAATGCCTTTATTTTTTTTTAATTATTTAAAATGCCTGCATAATCATTTTGCCATTGTAGAGATCCCATTTCCGAATTTACATAATTTTTTTTAATTATTTCGCACAAACATCGGATTGTCGCGAGGCCGCCCACGGTTCGTTTCTGAATCGGTAGTCTCCACCGAAATCACAGGGAAAAGTATTTTCAATGCACCGTCGGGCTCGGATTAAGCGGTAATTAAAGATTCTCTCCTCTCTAGAAAGGATGCGGGAGCCGTATGGATTCATGATCCGCTTGTGTAGCGGAAAAGCATCATCTGCAACCAAGAAATGCGGAGTCCGAACTTCACCGAGCGTGGTGTCTTCAGGAAACTCCATGTTAGCGTCAAGTAGCTCCCCTCCAATCCAAGACTTTGAGAATGCCTTCATGTCTCCTTCGCTTCCATATGCACCAACGTCTATAAACGTAAATCTGCAGGATGCGTCACATATGGCTAATAATATTATTATGTCAGCTTAAGAAGGACTTTGTCTCACCTTATACATAATTATAAAAAGCACTGCCACCATTAGGTGGAGCTTTAGTTGTGATTTGCCTCATTTCTTTCCAAATTCATTGGGTGAATTCTTTCGTTCACTTGTTTGTTCCGTTTTAATTTGAAAAATAAACTTTCCTCTAACAGCCGGTCATCGTCTGATGAGAAATCCATTGGAACTAACATCACAAAGTCGCAACAAATTCGTCTTGCACTATGAAACCTATTAGCTTACTCGCATCGCAAGCAATTCGTCTTCAGGATCGTCTTCGTCTTCATCTTCGTCTCAGCGCACACTATGTTTGCAGCCTTAGGGTTTTCCCCCTAGGTTTAGGGGTTTTTTGATGTCCTAGAGGGAATTTTCAGGGGGAAAGTTGTGGGGTTTGCTTTTTAACTTGTAATACTATGCTTTAAAATAGCGGTGTACAATTCATGATTTACTAAAATATCTCGATAGCGCCTTGAGTAAAATCACCTAAATAAGACAAAAAAAAATACTATAAACGACATTCCTGTCGAATAAAAGTTTTCTGGTCTGGTTACTTATAGCCATATGATACTGTAATGCAGTTTTCATTAATTAGCTACTTCATTAGAACCTTGAAAGAGTCAACTATATTGTCATTTTGCTTGGATTATTTTGGTAATATGACTACGGTCACATCGTCCGTAAAAGGTAAACAAAAAAACGGCCGCCATTCGCGGCGTATTACTATGAATTTCTGAATTCCACGTCGAAGTATTCTTGCATAAATAAATGCAGAATCCTTTAAATTTATGTTTTTAACCTATAATGCTTAAAATTTTTTTAATTATTACAAAAAAAAATAATTTTAATTAATTTTACAGCGCAAGAACCTTGCTACCGCAAAACATATTATTTTTCCTAATTTTCTAATATATTTTCAGTTCAAAAAACAAGCGAAATGATATAAAAATAAAATTCTCATTGTGAGACCATACTGTCAATGAGCTGGCTAATACATTTTTCAATTACAATTTTCTTCATTAAACCCGTATTTTGTTATCGAGTATCTAGTATATAATATGTAGATCTATCGATTATCGCGGCAATGAAGTAGCTAATGCATTATTCTAATGCATTAGAGCGCCATATAGTCGTCTTGCTCGCACTTGTGTAAAACGCTATAGCGCTGTCAAATCTTTAATGAAGTCTCTAATTAATGCGGCAGTGTCATGCCAGTATTAATGCCCATATGATACACTAATGCAGTTTTCATTAATAAGCTACTTCATTAGAACCTTGAAAGAGACCACTATATGTGTAATTTTGTGTAATTTGGCTTGAATTTTGCTTGGATTATTTTGGTAATACGACTACGGTCACATCGTCCGTAAAAGGTAAACAAAAAAACGGACGCCATTCGCGGCGTAATACTATGAATTTCTGAATTCCTCGTCGAAGTATTCTTGCATAAATAAATGCAGAATCCTTTAAATTTGTGTTTTTAATCTATAATGCTTAAAATTTTTTTAATTATTACAAAAAAAAAATTTTAAATTAAATTTACAGCGCAAGAACCTTGCCACCGCAAATTCCATTAGACTGCATGCATTTATTTGATTTAGGAGTCATACGCAAATTCCTTGTTCGATTGATGACTAATAAAACTTATAATAAATTGACGAAAGACAAAAAACATAATATGTCTAAAAAATTAATTGACTTACACAAAAAAATGCCCAGAGAATTCGTAAGGAAGCCAAGATCTCTATCTCCATATCAACGACGATTAAATTTGCAAACCTCTCAGCGCATTTTAACATATTTTGTTGAAAATTTTCCAAGAATATTTGGGGAAAATAGTGTAACGTACAATATACATAGTTTACTCCATGTAAAAGAAACTGTGGAGTATGTTGGCGATCCAGTTAAAGGCTCTGCTTATGCTTTTGAAAATTATTTACAGCATTTAAAACAAGAAAGGAAGCTAACTTCGGCACACCAAAGTTTGTATACCCTTGCAGATTGGTTATGATATTTATATTATAAATTATAATGCTGAAAACACACAAAAAAGAGTTTCATTTCATTTTACCTATACTTATTATGTTTACAGTTTGACAGTTACAGTTTTACATTCCCAGTTTTACATATTGTATACATTTACCGATCGCTTCTATGGCAGCTATATGATATACTTGTCCGATTTTCATAAAATTTTTACCAAAATTCTGGACTGATATAAAACGGCCATATCCCAAAAATGATGCAAAAATTTTGAAAAACAGCAAAGTTATAATTTTTTGTAGTCAAATATATCGAACATATGTATGGCAGCTATGTATATGATATAGTCCAGCGATGGGCACGAGATCTAACGGTTTGAGCAGCAGCTCGTTGAAAAAAAAAAAACAAGAACAACCACCAGCGTCGCGAAGCGTCGCACCCACGCGACACACAGAATGTGCGAGCCGAGAAAATACACTGACAACAACTTTTTAAGTAGATCAATATCTTCAGCCATTTTTGCGTGCATTTATGTCCGCCTAAGAAAAACGACTGCAAAAAAAATCCAATCTTTTTTCTTTAGTGCAGAAGTCAACGCCAGCCGCGCAGGTCACTTTAAAATTGTTCTTGTTTTTGGGACGATGTGCGAGTTCGGGTCGCTTGTGTTTTGTTGTTGCAAACTCGGGATCGCGGCGATGGGCTCGCTACCTGCGCCAAAGGTCAGTGTGGTTGTTTTTGTAAATCTTCACGGTTCGCTGGTCGCGAGCACTGCACTTGTGCGTCTGCAATTGTGCGACATGCTGGCGCCTCCGAAAAAAGATAACGGTTTGAGCAGCGTGAGCAAATTGAGCCACTGCGTGCCCATCGCTGATATAGTCGTCCGATTTTCATAAAATTTTTACCAAAATTCTGAAGAATATGTTGAAAAACAACGAAGTTATAATTTTTTTCCTATTCATTTTCCAATCGTTCCTATGGCAGCTATATCATATAGTCGTCCGATTTTCATAAAATTTTTAGCAACATTCTGAAATAATATAAAATGACCATATCTAAAAAATGGTGCAATCTTGAAAAACAACAAAGTTATAATTTTTTTTCTAAAAATATATCGAACATTTGTATGGCAGCTATATGATATAGTCGTCCGATCCGGCCCGTTCCGACATATATAGCAGTGAGAGTATATAGAAGACTATATGCAAAGTTTCATTCAGATAGCTTTAAAACTGAGGGACTAGTTTGCGTAGAAACGGACGGACAGACAGACGGACATGGCTAGATCGACTCGGCTGTTGATGCTGATCAAGAATATATATACTTTAAAGGGTCGGAAACGTCTCCTTCACTGCGTTGCAACTTGCAAACTTCTGACTGAAATTATAATACCCTGCAAGGGTATAAAAATATGTCCGAAAGCCAACAAAAATTTTGGAGAAAATTCCCCGGAGAATTGACGAAGAAAATTATTTACCAGTCACACATATATTAGAAACTGAAAAAAGAAAAAATTTGATAATATTTAAAGGTTGCACATTAATGCAGAAGGAACCTAACAATTATTGTTATATTAAAGGCGATGTTCCAGTAGAAATTGTATCAATTATGCAAGATTCAGAAAATCAATTTAGGGCAAGACGATTTCGGAATCTGCGGAGCTTTTATACTGACCCTTTAAACTCGTGTGATATGGGTATTTACCTAGCAGATGCGGAGCCCTCATCTTCAGAAGAAATTTTCAAATTAGACCAGTTAATTTGTAAGGCGATCGTTATTCCCTACTTAAATGGTTTAATTATAATGCCTTTTCTTCATCATATTGATATTTGAGGATGTTGGCGTGCTTTTATTTTTTAAACTATTTCTTATATTTTAATAAAAAAGACACCACGAAACACAAAACAAGCAAAAAGGAAAAATATGTAAGACAGCCCAGACAAATAAACTAAGCGAATGAAGAAAAAAAATTTTTTTAAGATCTTGAATAAATGAAGTATTAAAACCTTACATTTTTAGATAAGAAAGCCGACTGCAAATGTGGGGAAACCATCGCGCGCCTTGACAAGATGATAGTCGATCTAACTGAACTAGTTAGCACCTCACGAGGTAAGAGTCTAATTTATTGTTTAATTTGAGCTTTGAATAAAATGTTTCTTTCTTTTTTTTTTTGCAGCCGAAACAAAAGTGGCCGATGAAGTTCATGCTTTAAGAGGTATAAGATCGTGTCAATGATCCCTTAATAAAATAAGCATTAATATATGCAATATTTATACTTAGCCGACCAAAAAGTGACGCAGGACAAAATCGAGGTACTAGTAGAAGCTTTCTCAGAGCAAACAGAAACTGTCAAGGGGATGACGAAGCAAGAAGGCTAGCAAGTTTCCTGTTCCTGAACTCAGTAATAAACATTGCAAACCGAGAGCTCTGTGTATGTATAAATACCGACAAAAATTTTCTTTTAACCGCAATTCGTATTTATTTCGTTAACAGATTGATGCAATAAAAAACATAATTGTCAATGGCGGAATTTTAAAAAATCTGAGAAATCTTATGGCTAATGAGGTGGTTTTGGCTTATAATATAGATGGTGTTCAGGGGAAAGCGGCCTTAAGAAAGGAAATAGATTTCTATGGTGTTATGATTGGTAGGTATTTATAATCAGGCCGGTTAAATTTGAATTAAAATTAATAATCATTAACTTTTTCTTATTCCCAGATTCCATAAATGCAGTTGGAGGTATTGGGTCAGCTGAGGACCAGCTGCGAGAGGCCTTGCAGCTCCAAAAAAAGAGGCACTTTAAAAACTCTAGCGTTAACAAAAAAAAAAAAAAAAGAAAATGAATTTATTTAAATATAAAAAATAAGTACATTAATAATGCATTTCCACAATTGTTACTTCTATTATTTTTTAATTAATAATGGGTACTTACTTTACCGACCATTCTATGGGGTCCCATGTAAGTACTTACATTACTTCCCTTAATATGGAGCACTATTTCACTAGTTCCTGGGTATACGACACGGTGGCGATTGACCCTATTTGCGGACATTTCATACAAAAACGGAAATGAAAGATCGCATTGCTAGGGCCCGATGGGTAAGTAGGGGTGGTCTGCTGGTAAGCGCTTATTTCAGCAGCTACGAACCAGCGCGCAGTACTGCAGGGTTTCGATTACCGGAGCAGGCCTGAATAAAAAAAACTCATCTCAGAGTAGATAAAAGTACGCTAAAACACAAGGAAGTTATAATTTTTTTCTCCTAATCTTCCGATCGTTCCTATGGCAGCTATAAGATATAATTTTCCGATTTTATTAAAATTAATAATTAATTAAAATTATAATTTTTGTTCTACAAATTTATCGAACATTTGATATATATGATATAATCGTCCGATCCGGCCCGTTTCGATATATATAGCTGTGAGAGTATATAGAAGACTATATGCAAAGTTTCATTCAGATAGCTTTATACTGTCTTCCCACACAGCGCATTTGTGAGGAACGATTGGGATTTAAAAAAAAAGTAAAACTCGTATTCCCACAGAGCTGCGTTAAAGCGCATTCGCATCCGAACAGATGATCGATCAGCTGTGGCTCATGAAAACGTAAACAAAGACTGTCGAATCGGCAGTTGCAAATTTGAAATGTAGCATTTACCACTTTATTTTGGCTGTTGTACAACATCAAAATCACAGATTGCGTCAGAATTTATCCGCACTAAATTTAAATGAATAACTGACAAGGAATTTTAGCTTTTCTAATGATTTTTCTCTAACAAAGAGCGAATGCTGGCCCTGCAGGAGCAGCTGGGCATGGAGTGGCTCGAGAAGTATATGAACGCTCTAAAGATGCGTGTAGATATCGAAAAGAACTACAAGAACCAATTTCAAGTGGCCAAGACACTTGTTGACCTGCAAAATGTAGAGCTCGACAAGAACCAATCGGAGAACGATCGTCTTAAAGCTTAGTTGAGCATTATAGCAAGTGAATTCACCGATTTCCATCAGAAATTTAAGCAAACTGGAAGAGCAAAAGCTTAAGCTGCAAGATACAGTTGCTGAACTTGCAGATTTTGAGAATAAATGTTATCAGCTCGATGCCGAATTGAGGGTCAAGACACTGGAGTGCGAGGCTGGAGGCTCAACCAGCAGGCGTTGGGCTTTGAAGAGCTGATGTTCTTAAACAACGAAAGGGCTGCTCGCATTGAAGAGCTGGTGGCCACTCAAACCTCGCTGGTTGAGGTTAACGAAGAATTCGCCAGGGAATCAGTGGAACTGAATGCCCAAAATAACGCCCACAAAGAAACCATTTCTAGCCTAATGTGGACTTTGGACAAGAAAACACAGGATCTCACGAAATTAAGAGAGAGCCAGGAGATGCTCGAATTTGCAAACATCCAGCAGGCCTTCCTGCACAGCGCAGAGCGCCAAAAGTGCGAGGCTCAAAACTTGGAGTTGCAGGAAACAATCAAAAGCTTGCAGAACATGCTGAAGGATCAAGGTCAAGTCTTGCAGGCTGAGCAGGAAAAGCTAGCTAAGGTCAACCATCAAAGTCTGGGGCTAAAAACTGAATTAGATGGCGAAAGGTTAATACCAGCCCCAAGGATGACAAGAAGCAGATGGGCAATCAGTTGGTACTAAGGAAAAGTACGAGGAGAAACTAAAGGAGCAAATGAATGAGATGATCGCCCTGCAGGAGGACCTCGAGAAAAAGGATACCAAGCTAATTGCTCTCGAGCACCAGAAGGATGGCATCGTAAAGCAGCTGAAGACCAAAATGAACACAATTTGCAGTACCATCACGCAGCCAATAGTTGCCTCAACTACAGCCAAGTCGTCGCAGCCCACAAAGTACTCGAAGCGGCTGCTAAGACAGACGCAGCCAGAAACAAAGCCCGCTGTCAATAAGCCTTCGAGCCCCGCCAAAGAGCCAAATGACAAAATATGTATATACTCGTCGGATACTGAAAGCGAGGCTGATGTCTTACCGCTCAAAATGGTATTTGCCAAACGTGAAAATTTGGCTGTGGTGAAGCCCCAAAACGATGTGTTCGACGCTTTGAAGAAGGGCACCTTTTAGGAAAGCCGCTGGAGTATTTTGACTACAATATGTGTGTACTTTCCATTTATTTCATTAAATAACTAGTAAGAAGTAACTACAGATTACCTCATGGTAATCTCATTGAAGTTCAGTGGGTTTTAAAAATCCCTTTTTTTAATTCTACACTCATAAAAATAATTTTCTATATTTAAGAAAAATCGCCATACAAAATAAACGCCCTTAAACTAAGAAAATTTTTCTGGAATTAAGAAAAGGTTTTCATGAATTTAAGGCAGGCACCGTAAAACCAAGAAAAGCCGCCATAAATACACTTTTTTAGGGTTAATTTACATATTTTCCTCAAATTTAGGGCATAATTTTCGGATTTGCTTCGTTTAGTTTTTTTCTAATATTACGGGCGAATTGCCTTATTTTGGTGTGTTACTTTTTCCTGAAATCATGGCGAATTCGCCTTGTAACTACAGGTTACTATTTACTATTAAGGTTAAGTCAAACATCGATAGTATCGATAGTGCTCCGATGTTTTGCCAGCACTACTGTGCCTGCATTTTTTATTATGAGTAAAAAAGTGAAGGAGTGCGTGTGTAAAAAATATGGAGTCGTGGTTGAAGGAGGTAAATGGAGAAATGTTTCTCAAAATTTTTGAATGTAAGTTCATATTTATGATTGTTGTTATTGGTGTCAGTTATCTTAATCTAAAAATCTAACCTAGAACGCAATTTTACAATTAATGGAGTCAAGTGCCTCACTTGGGAACAACTCCGTGGAGAAATTCCAACGGAGCTTGTGGGTGCGGCGGTTGTTTTTTTAAATAATTTAAAACAATTAAAACAAAATGTGAGTACATATTTTAATATTTAATATTTTATAAGTAGTCAATAATTGAACACGTTGTGTTGGTGCCTCATGTTCAAATTTTTTGCGACGCAAAAACAAGAACAATTTTAAAGGGAACTCCGCGGCTGGCGTTGACTTCTGCACTTAGGCGGACATAAATGCAGGCGGACATCTCTGATGTAAAACATACACAAAGGAAGCATGCATAAATACTAGCGGAGGGCACAACAACAACAACAACAGCCACGCGCCACACAGAATGTTCTCGAACGCGAATTGCGCATCCCTTAATAATTGTTTTTGCATGGTTGGTGTTGTTGCAAGTCTCGAGATCGCGACAAAATGCCTGCTACCTCCCCCAGTAACATTGTTTTTGTAATTCTGCTTTTTTGAGCAGCGTGAGAAAATTAGGTGACGGCGTGCCTCTTATTGTATAAGATTTATAGTTAAACTATAACTTTTTTGTTCAGAAGCATATATAATATTAAAACTTTTTTTTCAGGACGAAGTCAGTTTTGCTCCACAGCCCGGAACTGAAAATTTTCATCCATCAACACAAACATCAGGCATTGAAATAGGCACAATAATTGCACAAAGCCAGAAGGGAAAATTAATTCTTAATAATTTTCGAATGCTTAAAACTCTAAACGGAAGAACAAGAAAAGAGTTAAGCCGCGTTATTATTGAGTATTTTCTGGCACGCAAAATACAGCCGAAGCAAAATCTCCTAGAAGTAGTGTCGAACCAAATAGTGCAACTTTTCCCTTCGGAGACAACAGTAAGATAAATATTTTTAAAAGTTTTACATTTGAAAAAATTTTATTTTTTAGGAAACTTATTTTATTAAAAATAAAGGAAAAAACCGGGTGGATTATTGTATAGCCACTTTTACAATTTAAAGGCAAAGTTCTGTGCACGAGAAAAAATATCTGAAAACGTGGAAAACCTACCCCCGAACAGTTATGCCGATGAAGGCAAGTTTTTATAAACAAATTAATTTTAATTCAATTTAAATAACATATTTGTAATTTTGTAGGGAAAGCCGATGTAGGAAGGACCTGGCTAAAGTTGAATGTCGAGCCATTCGATGCGGTTTTAAAATATTGGCAGCTTACTTTCCAGTGGAGGACTTCGTTTTTAAAATCGGAAACGAATCTTTCGACTATTTTGGAGGAATTTCCAATATTATATGAGTCCTTCGGATATGTATTGGTAAGTTCTTTTTATATCAATATATAAAATTCTTTTTTAAAACGTTTTCGTTTAAGATTGAAGACGACTTTAACAGGTTATATCCCCGCCAAGCCAATAATTTTATTGACAGGTGGGATGATTTTAAGCGGAAAATAGTACCACTGCTAAAATCAAAAATTAATGAACAGCAAAGTTTAAACCTGTTAAAGGACTTCGAGCGGCAGTCTGAAGGTACGTATGAATAAATTGTAATCTTGATTTTAATAACATTTTTTTCTTCCTTAAGAATCCCAGGAAATAATTGTTTGGATGAGCATTCATGCTGTCCTTATTCCAACAACAAGGACAAAAAAAACGGAATTCGGACGGATAGCAGCGAAGCACACGATCGCAGACTCACGAGCTAAATTCATCGTGTGGAAAAACACCTTAGCTGAGCTGAAGACATTTATAAAGGAGCAAACTGAAGACTGCTATTCGGAGAGGACGAAACTTCAGCCGTTTGTTTGTTGCATTGGGACTGATGTTCTACATTTTACAGATTTTTTTGTGTATATGTCAGGTATTTTTTATAGGTTGCCAAGCTTGAAAAAAAGTATCGATATTTGCTTTAAGCTATTTTTTGTTTTAAATCTAGAATACCAAACAGAGTGTCAATTAGTTTGGGCATTTTTCAAAAGCAAATTTTTGAAATTGATCTTAAAACAG